TGACCCACAGTTTGCGAATTTGTTCGAAGCTTTACATATTGCTCGATCACAGTGACTTATATTTATATTTATGATTATATGTTAACTTTTAGACTCATTTGACCTAATTGTTTTATGTTTATGTGTTAACTTTTAGACTCATTTGACCTAGTTGATTTATGTTTACAAATTAAAAAATAAATAACATAATTCACGATTCATGTTTTGAAATTAAAAAAGAATAACATAATTCACGATTCATGTTTTGAAATTAAAAGTGAGTAACATAATTCATTATTCATGTTTTGAAATTAAAAACGAGTAACATAATTTATAATTTATAATGCGTGGGTAATATAGGCGTAAGTTGTTGCCAATGTTGTAGACGTCCTGCAAATCCTAGCATCCAAGATGTTGCTGCTGGAGAACGAAACTTCTTCCAATCTACTGTCACTGGTGGCAATGGAAACCCTTCTTTCATGTTTACCTAAATAAAAAAATAATCAAAATAGTAAGTAAAAATAACGAAAAAGAATTAGGGTTAATCGCATTATCTAAAAACAACTAAGTACCTGAACCCAATTATTTCTGTTTACAAAACCAATGCAGTAAATTGCTACATTCGGTAAAAATGAAGTTGTCATAGGGAAGAAAGTCCAGCATTCAATTCCTAAACATACAAGTACAACATTATAACGATTCGCTATCACGTAACCCATATCTGGTAGAGTTAACATTTATGTGGTGGTTGAGGACCAACTTCCTCTATCATCAAAGATTCTCTCACCACTGCTAGCTGATCAGTAAATAAATTGGCATACAAACTTGATCTTTCATTATGTATTATTTCCAACCCCAAGTCTCGACGAACCATTAGCCAACCATCTTCACCAAATCCATGCAATGAAGCAATGACTCTAAATCCACAATTACCATTTGATACAACATTAACTACATCATCAATATATGACCGAATGTGATTAGGAAACTGAATGATGAACTGCTTAGATGACTGTGAAGATTGTGATAATTTCAACTTCTTCGAAGCTTGTGATGTTTGAGATTTCTTTTGTGAAAACTGTGATAATTTCAACTTCTTCGAAGTTTGTGATGGTTGAGATTGCATCTGTGAAGATTGAGATGCTTGATCAACATACTCATGATACGAAGGGTCTCTATAAACATCATATCCTACTGGTTTTTTGTCTTTCTTCTTGACTCCCCCTTTAGTTTTTATTTTCTCAGGTGGTGGACACATAGAAGTCATTGTGGGGAAGGCAAGTTCAAAAACCCTACTTTTTAATGCCCTTTTCCCAACAACATCCAGTGACTTAAACCTTTTCCATAACTCATCTATTGCACTACTCATATCCACCTCTGATCCATCCTCTACGTCTTCGTCCAACTTAACTTCCATACTTAGTTTTCTCCAATGAACATGCACAACATCTATTGGTACCGGTATACCATCAATTCTATATCCTGTCAACTCACAAGCACAAGGTAATCTGTAGGTTGTTCTAAGAGTACAACGACATATTTCCTTGTTAGTTCCAACATAATCAACTCGTTTTAACTCTTCAGCAATGCGTCTCAATGCATCTCGAGACACTGAACCACGTAAATTATTGTAAAATGGACTTACGTGGGCGTGCTCAACTTCATAAAAACTCTTTTGAAAAAAGCTCTAATATTACCCAATTGTAACTTTAAGTTGTTATTCATAACCTCCCAACATTTGACCATGTCACCAATACTGTTCCCCAACATTTGCTTTAACTTCCAATGAGCAGACTCAGCCCTAAAATTAATAAATATTAAAAATATTTTTAAAAAAATCAAAAGAAATATACAATTTAGAAATACTAAAAATAAATACATACCGATTAGTCGTGGTGTTACCCAAATGTAGCACTCGATTAATCCATGCTCCAACAAATCTTTGTCTATGTGGTGTCAACCATGTGTCCTTCACATAATCAATAACTTCATTACAATTAACACACGCCTGCTCAAGTTGGTTCAACCTTTGATCATACTCAACCTCATCACTAGCCCATACAACATCCGTCCATAATTCGTCAATTTTCTTTTGCATGTCACTAGCCACATATTGTTTCCGTTTTGCACCAACATTCTTGTTAATATGAAATCGACATAACATATTGATCGACATTGGAAACACAATTTCAATGGCTTTCATCAAAGCAATATCTCTATCTGTCGAAATCACTTGTGGACACAACTCTTTCTTCACAAATAATTGTTTAAGCTTATCTAGCACCCAACAAAAAGTCTCAGTCTGCTCAGACTCAATATAAGCAAATGCGACAGCAAAAGTCGACTCGGTTGATGTCATGCCAATAATTTCAAACAGAGGTTTCCTATATTTGTTTGTCTTGTAAGTGTTGTCCATAACTAGCACAATAGGAAAAATATTCAACAACTTAACTGAATCTAGATAAGCCCAAAAGATATCTCTAATAACTTCAGAGTCATCTCTTTTTCTATTCCAATAAACATAACCTACTTCCTCAATAAGCTTAAACAAATGTTGTATCTCACTTCTAGGACCTCTTATATTTTTTTCTATCATACTCTTCTGCTTGTATATTTGCGTAATCCAAGTGACATTATTTGGATCTTGCTCTTGCAATGAAAGCAAAATATGTCTAGGTGGAACCTTTCTCTTTGTCAAATCAACATGTTGCTTCTGATCCGCTGTCAACCTACCAACAAATGCGTGACCTTCTAATCTATCCGGTAAATCATGGTTATGAACTCCACATTTTACATCAATCTTCCATCCAGATCCATCAGTCGTTGGAATTGATCTGATTCTAAATGGACATCCACATTTTTTCGTCGCACTCTGGGTTCCACTATCAATATCTTTGTGTTTTCCTCCTTTATCACATCCAAATATTAATTTGTTACTTCTTCCTCTCTTGCCTGTTTCAATATTTGAACGAGTGATGATAACCGTAACTTTATTTCGGATTCCAATCTCTTTAATCCATCTTATTACCTCTTCTCGTATACCAAATCTTTGAGGAGTTGAAAAAACATCATACGTATCTATGCATATCTGATCTTTATCGCATATTTGTAAAGGAATTTCTGAACCTACATAAAAAAAGATTTTAAAAAAAAAATTAAAAAAAAGATGGACAATGCAAACCGGAAGACTCATGAAAAGAGTTCCGGTAGCCAAAATATGCGAACCGGAAAACTTGTAAAAAGTGTTCCGGTACACTTTTTACAAGTACCGGAACTCTTACGAAAAGTGTTCCGGTGAACATCCTCGAAAAAACGCAAACAGGAAGTCTTTCATAAAGTCTTCCAGTACATAATTTATGTAAACCGGAACTTTTTGCATAAGTCTTCCGGTTTGAGAAAAAAAGTATACCGGAAGTCATTTTGAAAGTGTTCCAGTAAACTTGTGTGTTGAATTTCTCGGAAGACTAAAAAAATCTGACACTGTAAAAAGTAAAAAAAAAAAATAATAAAAAAATATATAGGGATAAAATTGGTATTTTTAAAATTGTAGGGGTATGGGTATAAATGCAGGGGTATGGGGTAAAATCTTCTCAAACAAGCTCCATCAAAAGAAATTGGGCCCAAAGTAGGTTGGCCCGAAACATATGGCACAGTCATTACATTCACCTCATCCTTATCTAAGTGAGTCCCCCTAATTCTTCTAAGCCTTTGTCAAAAGATCCTTCCTCTGACTTCTCCGAAAACTCCATCAACTCGAGATGCATACCTAAATTGACCTTCATAGTGTTGTTCTGATTTGTCCCACTCAAATCCTTTATTATATCCTCACTGGTAATAATATTGGAAAACACCTTTTTGTTTGACGTTCCCAACAGTTGTTGATTTTGTGAAAGTTTCTAAATTTCATCTTCCCTGTCAAGAGCTACTAGCGCCTTTTCGCCTATGACCTGACCACAAGTCACATCATCTTCATTAACTCTTTAGCCCTTTTTGACGAAAGGAACCTCAAATACATCATCATCATCGTCCTTGTCCAAACCACTAAGACTCCTTTCCGAATCTGAATCACTAATATCCGACCAAGAATCTCCATTGATGTTACTCCTAGCAAGGTTACCCACCAGACAATCAGCCTTTTCCATCAGCTTAATTCTGAACAATTTAACATTAATCAAAATGTTCAGAACTTCATTGATCATCGTAGCACACCTTGTTCTGATCATAATCCTTGCAACATCCATTTTAAGACCCTTGCTCGTATTATCATCATTGTAAATAAAAGTTCCCAATGTTGAAGATAAAAACTCGAAGAACCTCAAGTTCCATACATGACACGGCAAACCATAGCATCTTAGCCACATAACTCTTTCAGGATCCACATCATCTGATTTCCACTTTCTCACCTCTTAAAACCACTGCCCTAACAAATTCCTACTTTCCTCTACCAAGACATCCAACTGTCATTCTACTAAGTCCTCTAGCAGACAAAAGTTAACACCTATAGGGGTTGCTTTAACTGAGAAATAACCATTTGAATGGAGCATCTCCTGCATACTATAGGATTGCTCCAGATTCACCACCACTCTAATGTAAACATTAAAAAAATCTGAATTTTTCATCGTCAGTGGTCTGAAATTTCAAGTGAACCTTTGACTATTCATTAAGACTATCAAAGAGAAAATCTATGTGGTAGAAAGTTGTATAAAACGGATTGCTGATAGTTAGCCCACAAAATCATGTGGTAGAAAATTGTATAAAACGGAATACAATATCATGAGTTGCTATAAATAAATCTATTGCAAGAACTAGGCATCAAAACAAAGATAATCAATGTCTAGCCAAAATTACACCAAGGATTATAATTAAACTTTATTAGCCACACGTAATACATTATAATTAAAATTCAAAACATAACAGTACACCACCAATACTATTAAACTCGCTGGCATAACTTTGAACTCTAATGAGTTTCATGTTTTGAAAGACAAAAACTACAAACAAGTTCAAACTCCATACTAGTTTCACTTCATGCAATATTTGACAATGCCAGGAATATGAACATTCATGAAGTAGTCATCCCAGTCAATCATTTTGGGATCAAAGTAAAACAAATTCATCTCCACCCCACTTTGCATTGCTTCTTTTTGCAACTTCTCCACATTCGTATTATCAAACCTGTCCACAAAACATATTATATTAATCACGTAGCTCAGTTAGATAGAACGTTAATCTTATACATTTGTATAAATAATTTATTGACTTACAAGCCGTCGAAGAACAAATAGGGTTTGTAGAGATCCACCAAGCGCATCATGGTTTGGACCTTCTTGTTGATATCAAAATAAGTACCATCAAAAAAGTGACAAAGAGCCGTATTGGCTATCTCTAGTGCCTGATAAAATACAAACCGATTAGTACTCGTGTGAGTTTCACCGATTAATGGATTAGTAAACGATGATTAGAAATTGAAAAACCTTGAGTGGAAGAATGTATCGAATATACATGTATCTTTGGAAGCTATTCATGTTTTCCAAAACTGTAACTGTCCCAACCTTGATGGGTTTTCCTTCTTTGTCTAAAGATGGCTTTGCAGTAAAATATCTGAAAGTGTAATCTTTGAGATTACGATATTTAACTGGATTTCCAACAGAAGAACCCACATGATATATGTTGTTATCACTAGGTTGATTAGCATGAGCCACCATTGCCACCATCATTGCATTCACCACAATATCAGCAGGAATCTGCTTAACATCAAATAATTAGATACATTATTAGTTACTCAATAAATTTTAAAAATAGTTTTTTTTAATTATTTCAATTTCAAATTAAGAAAATAAAATCAAATGACAATTCTCACCACATCAAAAATAGCCTCAATGTCTGCAAGGAAGCATGTTAATTTTCCTTTACCATAAGCAACAATTAAACTGTCTATGGTTCTGCAAAAATGAAAATATATTAAATCAGATAATCATGATTAAATTAATTAATGAATTTCTTAACAAAGAATTGGTGATTAATTTACCTTACTCCTTCAACCCAACCAGGAAAAGGTTCTTTGTAAGTGCTTGTAATCATTGTAGGACGAACAATAACAATGGACAGATTTTCCTTCATAGTTCCAACAAGCATTTCTCCCATTGCTTTTGTAAACACATATGTGTTTGGCCATCCATACATTTTTGCTCTAAAAATTTATTAAAAGCAAACCGTGTTAGTCCAAAAAAATTTATATTTTATTAAAATTATCTAAAATAAAAAATAATAATAATAATAATAAAATATTTTAGAAAAATAAAAATAATAATAATTTGATTGATGCTAACCTTTTGATCCCCAAATCCTTCATGGCAAATTTAATATCATTTTCAGAAGCTCCTTGTTGTTGAAGCATTTTCAATTTATCTTCAACAACTTTCTTTTCCACATTAATGTCTAATCCAGTTACTCCATTTAATGACACACCCATTTTGTATGGTTCTTCTGTAATCAACCCTCCTTTCTCACCACATACGTATGCTGAATTTAATTATCAATAACATTACATTAATTTCACTCACTAAACGTGTGGATTTGGTACAAATTTAAAGCATGTGATTGAAGTTTTTCCCATACACACTTATTAAAAGAAAGAAATCATTTTAATAAAAATTAAAGCAGAAATAAATAGCTCCCATTATTATTTGTCTGTTGGGCCTAATAACAGCCTTTAATATGGACACAGTTTCCTGCAGTCATTTGTATAAGGATTCATGCATTTCAGAATTACTGAAAGTTGGACAAATTCAGACGTTGTCAGACTCTCTCTCTCTCTCTCTCTCTCTCTATATATATATATATATATATATATATATATATATATATATATATATATATATATATATATATATATATATATGAATTAAGTGTCTTATTTGATAATAGAAAAGTAACAATATTTTTGGTTAGAGTGAAAGAATAGAAAAGCAAGTTATAATAATATTTTAAAATTTTAAAGTTTTTTCAATGTTTGTTTTAATCTAAAAAAAAGAAAGTAGAAAATACTTTAAAATATTCTTAAAAATAAAATACAAACCTGTTGATACGTGGACAAGCACCCTCAGATTAATACAGTTTTTGGCGAAGTTCAATACATGCTTCACTCCAAATGTATTTAATTCCAATGCTGCATCATATCTGCATTTATTAAATGTATACAATTATTTTTAAAAGAGTCATTGCACTATTTTGAAAATATTAGTGGAAAGTAAAAGCTTGTGCACACTACTTTTTTAAAATAAATTAATGGTTAAAATTTTATTCAACATAAGTTAATAAATGAGACGTCGGTTTAACCTCGTATTTCTTTAATTTATTATTTATAACTGAATTAATTTATCATAACCACTATTTTATTTGGTTATTATCAAGGTTAATTATGGTTTAATTTTTTTATACAAATTATGGTTTAATTTAGGAAAAATAAATAAGTGTTTTATTTTTTTACTTATTTAACTAATTACGATTTAATCTTATTAAAGCTTTGTATGGTAAAAAACAGTGATGGATTGATTTATATTTGATAAACTAATTGAAATGTTTGATAAAATGAACGGTTTAATTAGTTGATAAATTAAAATAATATAAAAAATATTTAATGTATAAATATTTTATTTTAAATAAAATAAATTATATAAAGTAGTTGTAGATTTTAATTAAAATAATGATAATAAAATTGGGAAAAATGATAAATTGTAAATTATAAATTAAAATATTATTCAAAATAATGTTTAAAAAATAAGTTATAAATTATTAAAATAAACTATAAATTCTGTAAAAAAATTACCAAACCCATTTTTATCTTACTTATAAGTTATAAATTCAAAAGATAGTCTGTCTTACCCTTTTCTAGATTCTGTCTTCCATATAATAAACATTTAATGCAATTTATATAACTGTTGAAATGCAGCTTCACACACTCCAAAGCAATAATAGATAGAAATAACTATACTAAGTATTTATACCTTTCATCAAAGTTAGTTGTTGCAGCTAAATTCACAATAACATTAGTTTCATTGTACAACTCCTTAACCAGATTTGAGTCCTTCAAGTTCAACTCTTCTTGGGAAATGTCTCCAGCCACTACAGTCACTTTCTCTGAAATAAAGCTATTGAACTTTTCACCATGATTTTCCTTCATCAATTTGAACAAGTCCTTCTTCAAAATCTGCATATATACAAAAATAAACTCTTAATTCATCTCGTAAAAAATATCATATTTGAATAATACGCGATTCTTAAATAAATAATTCTGTCTTAATTTTAATGATAAAACTAATGTTATTTATACTACAAAAAAAAAAATAATAAAAAATTTGTATGAAATGGGGAGGATATTCCAAACATTCATTTAACTCTTAAAATATAAAGTACTGTTTGGTGGGGAAAATTTATGACCAATACAACCCTTTTTGTGGTGGGTGTGAAATTTTAATACTACATAATATCAACTCTATTTTATTCTCTAAAGTTACATCACAAAATTTTAAGATAACAATAATATTTATTAATTTAGTAACAGTATAATTAGTGGGCACCCCTCACCCATGATGATATTATCAGAAAGTCCGTACCTTTTGAATAAGACAAGTTTTAAGAATTTTGATAAGTAGAGCCTACTTATTTATAAGTAAAAAATACATTTTTTATAAATTTAAAATAAAAAATATTTTGATGAACAATCACACCTTATGCACAAATTAAAACCATTATAACCTTCTAAAATTTAAATGGATATTTCAAAGAGAAAATTTTAATAGTAAGGTTTTAAAAATATTCCATTACAATCACCGCAACAAAACGGTGTCGAAAAGTGTCGATATTTTACCATTAAAATGGTAACGACTTTAATTAATGTTGCAACATGTATTTGTACGGACCAAAATTAGATTTGATATATTTAAACCAAAATATGAAATTTTATGATGAGTGAGAATGAGAGTAAAACATACCTCATTATGCAACCGTTTAGTTGCAGATTCAAAATCTGTAGCTCTCAAAAGAAGATAAACTTTTTTCACATTTGGTTGCACTCTTAGTATCTTCTCCACAAAAACTAAAAATAGCAGCATAGAAACAAAATCAAACAAATATTACAAAATACATTTAATTTCTTGTTTATATAAAACACAGAGAGAGATATACTTTTTGCAAGAAATCCAGCAGCACCAAGGACCAAGACATTCTTGTCTTGAAGAAACTGAGCAATGCTTCCAAAATTTTCCATTGGGAAAAGTACTTTTTTAAGGCAAGTATTGAGAAATGACAAAGATATTGGATATAAGAAACTTTTCTGTTTTGGTGAAAAATAATGTCCTAGATGACCAAGTATATATAGGAAAAAAATTAACGACACGTAACATAGCATTTATTTGCAAAATATGTAATACTATGTATGTGGTCCTAAGTATTAAACTAATGTGGAATGAAATGGAAGTGTGTGAAAGAGAGTACTAACAATCCCCCCAACTGTTCTAGAGATAACCTAACCAAGCTGCCACTGTGTTCAAAAATTAATGTCAATAATTTTCTTTTTTGCTACTCTTTATTGACTTACACAGTCTGAATGCTTGATGATTATGAAAATTAAAATATTGTTAAATTCATGTGGGGTGTAATCGGTTTTGGGGAGTGTAAGAGAAAATGCCAAAAGTAATAATGGACTAAACACTTATATCACTTAAACATCAAGTTGAAATTAGATTGTTAGTTCTTTAATATGAAATTAATTGGTACTCTTTTCCAATGGTAAATATTATATTTCACTTGGCATTATATGCGTTAACAACATGTGTTTATAAAGAAAATAATTATTTTACAAAGGTTCAAATGGTTTAAATTAAATGCATCTTAAATCCATTTTATTTAATTTATAAAATTAGTTCACATGCAAAAGAGATTCTATGATATTTTCTTTTTACAATATTCATTTTGAATCTTGTACTGATTTGGACGTTAGGGTGATAACTATGCAAATTCACCTCGTATCGTCGTGACGATGATTAGTACCACCGTTTCAAGATTATAAAGTCTTCAACTACATCAATTTCTAGTTTTTGAACAGAATTGTAGCGCTGTTTGTGGGAATGGATTTTCGATTTTTACGATTTTAGATCAAATCTCTGATTTACTAGTTCGTAACCTCCTCAGATCACTGAATCAATAACGTTCAAAAGCAGACATGGAGATTTATCGCAGTCGATCCCATAAATCTTCATTTCAACTACGATTCTTAGAAATTATGATCTTTGATTCCTTCGAGAACTCCGCGAAGCAACAAAACAAAGAATTGTAGATCCAAATCTAGATCTACACTAGAGACCCGAGATGATTTCCTCGAAGTTCATGTCGAAGGTTCACAATCCATCGTCCCACCTAATGTCGCATGTACTTCCCTCGCTAACGTGATACTTACCGCAGCGATGACGAAGATACGTTGAGTTCATAGTTAACATCGTCAGAGATACGGCAAGGTCGTAATTAATGACTGACGCATAATAGGTACCATAATGCCTACTATAGATACTAAAGGATATGCAATTGGCCTTGGGCCATATTCAGAGGTTAAGATGGAGCAAAACAGTGCCGCTATATCTTTTCCTTATTGCATAGATCAATTATTATTGGAAAAGCAGTTGAGTCTAGTGACAGTCGAGGTTCCCCAGCATCATACGTCAACAAATAAAGACATTTGGGCGCAAAGTCATTCAGAGAACAAGGGAGGTGGGTGAGCTACAACCCCGGACTACCCAACAAGAGCAATGATTTCAACCGAGACGAGAGTCTGTGTGAGGTACCTCAGAAATTACCTTAGACTATGGCAGTAAGGGAAACAAGTCTTCTACAAAGGTACCTCTAGTCGACAATTATATCTGGCCCCCTGCCCAACATTGTTCGTCCTAAGAAAGATCGCCATATGAGAAGAGCAGGTCGAATCCCTTGTTCGTAAAGATCGGAGGTGAGCCTCTCAAGGAGCTTCACCTTCATCCGATCATATCCTTGGCCTTAAGAAGCCCAACTAAAATTCCTGAGACAAACTAAAGTTGTGTTGTAACCAAAGATTTACTTATATAGTCATTTTGTTATCTCATTGTAATAAATTTACTTCAGTATGATGAAAATACTAGTTTGTTATTTTTCCTCGATAGTACTCTTTTCTGTTTGTCTCTATTTAGGACACTAGAGACGAGAAGGAATATATCATGAGTATGCTTTCATATCCGATATAGTTTAAATGCATGTATGCGTATATGAAATGGTTTAAAATGCATATCTTCACTTTTGCATATCGAATACAGATTCATTTATGCGTATCTAACACGACTCAAATGCATTTTTGATACATACTAAACACATTTCTACACATTTGATATAGACTTAACGCATTTTTCATAGTTTGTGCACCCCCCGTAGGATCTAGGTAATCCAAGGGTTTTAGGTGGTGGAGTTCAAAGACGTCCACCTCGATTTGAACTAAGCCAATGGGGCAGGGACGAGGATCCTAGCCTTGTTCGGGAAATAATCCTCAATGACGCGGAGTGTAGTGCAAATATACGACCAAATCATGCAAGTCTCTTCAATTTCAATCCTCGCCCCGAGGAACACTAACAACACGTTAAATACAACAACCAAAATAATACACTACTACAGCAAACACTAAATACAACGACTGGACATAACAACCAAAAATGGTAGCTAACATCATTCAACATGCTAAGTTGTAAATCACAAAGGTAGAGAAGTTACTAGAGCACATCGACCTCTTCGTTGCAATAAAATACATTTGTTTCCTCATAATATGGGCAATTAAAGTTATAACACCCAAAGAAAACAGCATGTCACAACCAAGGAATACTGGTGACCTCACCGAGACGGACGAACATTGTATTGTAGGGTAAAAGAGCAAGCCCTGGAGTTATAACAATTCACGAATAATCAAAAAGACATAGCACAACGATAATGATAACATGTTGTCAAGCACAAGGCTTTAAACTAAATAATATCCAAGTCATTAAATTAAAAATAATTTCATAAATATTAATAGTTGTTTTACCCAAGCCGTAAAAGTCTTGAAAGAGTTGTAAGAAACAAAATAATACAAAGAAAAAATGAAAAAATCAAGCTGAAACTCTCGGAGTCGGAGCACCAAGATCAAACTCTAGAGTCACTTTGGGAGCAACCTGGAACGGGCTCAGTGCCTCAACCGAGATTATGTCATCAAGACAAAACCTCATCGCTTACTCCACAATCTAGTCACTAACCCCGAACACTACCTACATAGTCCGCTGAAAGGAAGCATGGAACATTTTCCTCAGACCGACAACCTCGTCGCCAAGAGCTTCCAGGATTTTAGCATGAGCCTCGAAATCCTAAAGAAGAGTTTTCCAATCATCCTCTGCTTGAAGAATCTTCTCCTTAACAACAGTAGGGCCATCTAGGCACCCCTTATTTGCCACTTTGAGGGAATCCTCCAACTTATTTACCCGAGAAGCCAGAGTAGATGGGGAGCCGTGGATTTTCACTTCCTCTTGTAAAGAGTCAGCATCCTTGACCCCCTCATGAAGTGCAGCAAGCTCCTCATGGAGAGTAGAACACATTTATTCCATAGCTTCGCATTTCCCTTTCCATGTATCCCTTTCCTTGGAGGGATTACTCATAGTTAACAAGTCCCCCATGCTAGCAGAAACAGGGAAGAATAGATAAGCATCCTGGTATATAATATGAGTGATATCATAGTCGAGTTCCATCTTTTCTGCCTTAGAGGGATTTTGAGCGAAGTATGAATCCTATGGCAAAAATATAGTGGCAACCTCCTAAAAAATGCGAGCAAGGTGGGAAGATAAGACATTCAACATTCGTAAGAAGGTAGTTATATCCCTCGAAGCATCGTCCCCAACACCACGAGTTCGTTTAGGAGAACCATTTCCTCGAGGGGATTGTTATTCTTTATCCCATACCATCTTTGTTGAAATCGGAGGCAGTAATGACTCTTCCACAGTCAAAGTGGCAGCAACATCCACAAGTTAATCTACCTCAGACGTATAAGTAGAAACTCTGATAGCCAAAATTGGAGCAGGGGTCAGAGCAGGAGTAGTGGTTGTCGTAAGAGGCATCACGGCATAAATACCTTGAGCATTGAAAAGGTTATATAACATCTTCATCTTGTCCAACTGATCCATGTTATCCGCAAAACGTAATCACGCAGACTAAAAAAATAGAAAGAACAAAAGAAAACAAAAATAAAAACTCAAGGGGTTCATCCCCACCAAATATTTTTTCTTCTCCCTTTGATGATAGCACTCATAATGGCGTAAGCGTCAATTCGCCTCTTCCTCACGTCAGTAGGAGACACCTTACAGGGGGTCAAACCCTTCCTCATAGTCGAGCACCTAAAACCAAGAATGTAATAATAATGGACTTCCCGATTAAAGTGAAGAGAAAACTAATACTTTGGGAAGGAACCCCGACAGAAGTGAGGAGATGGAAGTGCAATTTCTAGAATTGAATATTGGGCTAATAAGTATTTTCCCCTGCCATATAGGAAAATTTTGAAAAACCGGTGTAAAATAAGTTTGATTTTCATCTTTAACATTTGAATATTCCCTTATGAGACCCCGCCATTAGGGGTGTGCAGAATTCAACCCAACCCGAAGACTTGTTCCAACCCAATAGTTTAGGGTTAGTCTTTTTCCCATCTCATGTCAAAAATGGAAAGAAAAAAAAAAGGACTATCCAAAAATGAACCCGTATCGGGTTGGGATGGGTTCGGATTGACCCTCGGGGTTACCCAATCGGTCTTAATATTATGAATGCACATGTGGTACTATTTATTTATTTAATTTATTGATATATTTATATTATTCCAAATTTCCAATATGCTTTTTCATTTTCCACCTCATAATTTAATATATGCACTCAGTAAGTACTATGTACACATCTTCCCACTTCCCAACTTTCACACTTCTCTAGTTCTCTTACATCATGTTTTTTATTTTACATCTTTTTAGTATGTTTTAGTTAAAATAAAAGGGTGATGACATATATGAAATTACGTCATGTTTTTTATTTTAAAAAATCGACTTTAAATGTCTTAATTCATGTTTTTTATTTTAAAAAATCGACTTTAAATGTCTTAATTGTTTTTCATTCATGCTAATGATTTTATTCATATTTCTTATTTAAATATATTTTTTAAAATACTATAATAAATTTCTTAAGTCACTAAAT